CCTGTAGACATCCTGGTATCTAGGCTGGAGATGGGGGCATTGCACCCAGCTTCAAGGCCTGGAGGTGGGACAAGTCTTACCTTGAAATCCAAGGAAAACATTACCTCCCCAAATGGGGGAAAGCATTGTTTAGCTCCTCAAATAGCCTAGGTGGGATGGGCCATCCTTTGGAATACAGATGTTTAGTGTAGCTCCTGGTGCTTAACTCTCTACTTAAGCCCTTATCTTTGAAAATTTAACGTTTGGTCTAAATCTTGATACAAATGGTCGTTTTACTAATTATCAAACCACAATTTTGTTTTATTTTGGTGTTTGTACCAATGTTTCTCTGCTTACCTGGGACTTATTTGTCTCAGTTAAATTTGAATTTTCTCCTTCCTTGTTCTAACTAATACCCTATCTGTTTACTTTTGATCTGGTCCTAACAATTTCACATTTTATTCTTAAACAAATTTATTTGGTTAGTGTCAGCCCAGAATTTACTGCCAATTAGGGTTTTAAGCTAATACAGAGCAGTTTGGTTTTAAGCTATTCCCCACATTTCACAACCTCAGCCTTTTACAGCCAAGCATTACAAATGGTTGACAAGTTCTTGCCCAGTTATGCATGCTTATAAACTAGCTTGCCATGACCTCCAGCTCTGATCAATTTTAGAAGAGCCAAACATTATTGCCCAAGCCCCAGGAGTGCCTTTTTCTATGTTAGGGAAAATGTAACCTTGACATTTCCCTTGGTCACTAGACTTGAACTTAGTGCCTGAGTGCTGTTTTTCAGCTCTCCAGTGCAAGGATTGTACTTTTCCACTTCGGACTCCAAAGCAACTCTGCCCGCTTTTTTGGCACTCTGCTGGCTAGTTAGAGATGATAATCTTTCTCTGCCTGGACTGGCTTTGAACTGCAGTTTGTAGATTGCTCACCTTTGGTCCTCAGTTCCACCCACACTTGGGCCCCCTCCCATTTCTGGAGTTCCCTCCATACAACTGGCCTCTCCCTCTCTCCACCCAGACCCACCTGAACTCCCATCTACCTCACTTCCTTTTCTCTCAGATACTCCTGCTACCAGGATGGTGATGGAGGTCATGTGCTCCCTCTTGGGGGAAATATGGCTCCTCTAATAAACCTTGTAATAATCTTTCTTCTTTGCCTGCTTGCCTCTGCATGGTCCCATAGGATGGATGTGTCTGATCCTCTTTCACTGGTGGCTCCATACTGGGATAGGTTCCCCAGTGCATTTGCTCCCCCTGCACTTCAGAAGGGAGTTCAAACTGCTTCCCTGGGACCTATTCTGAGATCCTTCACTCCAGTCACCAGAGGACCATCAAGGTAACTTTCTCCTGACTGAGCGCTCTACCAGCCCATCCAGCCCCACTAATTAATTCCCACTGCAGGGTAAGTGACAAGTTTGTCCGAGGTCGGGGTTTCTGATTCCAATATCAGTGGTAAGGCCACCTGAGCCTTTCTGGGCTAACTGAGCCCCACCCTCACCATCTGACCAAAAACTTGGCCAAGTGCTGGAATTAGCCACTAGGGGCCTACCATGGCCCAAGGACCCACCTTGGACCAACATAAGGACAGTCTCCACTGGTGGGGCCACCACCTATTTAGGAGCCAACCCGCACTGTAGAGGACACTCTACTATAGGCACATGGCTTCAGGTCACTTACCATGGGAAGGACACTAAATTTCTTTACATTAAGGCCACCTGGCCTTGGAGGGCTGTTGAGTCCCCATCAGTCAAATTTGGCCCCACATTTAAAACTCCACTTCTGAGAGTGCTTGAGCAGGTAGCTCTCTCTCTCTCTCCCCCTCCCCTTAAACTCTGCCTCTTGCCAAAATTACCTGCTTGTAACCTCTTTCACAAGTATTTCATATGCTAAATGCTTTGATTAAGCCCTGGAAGAATGTAACCAGTAATTGCTTGTTTCTACTCATTAGATAGAAAATGGATGAATTTAAATCTAAACTCCCCGAAATAAAGGTCAACAAGTTTGGATATTACCAAAAGTGTATTAATCTTCTCTTTAGCATTGAGCAAGTGGTGGATGTGCCAAATTGGCATCTTGGTACTTCAGCTTGGTACTACTCCCTCCCCCTCCCCTGTCCTGTGGCGCCATTGTGCTAGGCCAAGTGTATGTTCCTATTGCCTCCTGTTCACTAGGTTTCTTGTTGGCAAAGTTTTGTATTTTAAACTGACCACATGGTTCCATCATAATTAGAAAAGTAGTTCCACTAAAATTTCAAAACTTTAAAACAGCCTATTTTAAAATCTAAGCACGCTCTATAATCTCTGCACAAACATGTCTGTCTGTGTCTTATTTGACTATATGTAAGTGGTTATGGTTTCAAGGTTACCAAGTACTCTGCCTACTAAAAATCTTTGTCAATGGAAGCTGTGAATTAATCTAAATTGCTTTAAAACTTTGTGAACTGACTAAGCCAAAGAAAAAACAGGCAGTTTTAAAAGGCCTTGGAAAAGGACTTAAAAAAGACAATGTCCTTTACACAGTAAATGAAATTGGTAACTAAGTTGGCTGTGACTTATGTCATTCCTATGTCCATCTATGCTCAGAGTTAAATATTGTACACTGACCATGGCTAGTAAACTAAGGCTAAGGGTTTCATTCTCTGTTTTCTCCCCTGTGTGCCGATCAACTTCAATTAAGATCAAGGGACCAGAGTCACTATGCCCAGGCACAGCTGCCTAAACCAGTGGCACCAGCCTGCAAAAGCCAGTGTAAACCAGGTCTCAAACCAGTATATGTAGAAATATTGCAGGTTACCAACAGCAGGTGCAAAAGTCCATACATGCTGGGAGATGCCACAGTCTCTCTCAGACTCTGGCCTTGCTTCATCTCACATGATCAAAAGCCTGTTAATTAAGGGTAAAACACAAGCCACATTAGATATTTGGTTCTGTAAATGTTAATTGCCAGGAATTCGACCATACGGGTGTATGAGCAAAGGATAGAAGTTGATTTCTATCAACACAGCACTTAAAAAATGGCAAAACCTCCCATGCTCCTGGATTGGAAAGATTAACATCGTGAAAATGGCAATACTGCCCAAGGCTATCTACAAATTCAACGCAATACCTATCAAAATTCCAACCTCATTCTTCAAGGAAATAGAAGAGGCAATCCAAAAATTCATATGGAACAATAAAAGACCCCGAATAGCAAAAACGCTCCTCAACGGAAAGAACACTGCTGGAGGAATATCAATACCAAATTTCAAACTCTACTATAAAGCCATAGTAATCAAAACAGCTTGGTATTGGCATAAGAACAGACCTCAGGACCAATGGAATAGAATTGAAAACCCAGAAATGAACCTACAGACCTATAGCCATCTAATCTTCGATAAGGGAGCTAAAACAATAGAATGGAACAAAGACAGCCTCTTCAGTAAATGGTGCTGGCAAAATTGGTTAACTACATGTAGAAAACTAAAGCTAGATCCTTATATATCACCCTGCACCAGAATCAACTCCAAATGGATCAAAGACCTCGAAGTCAAAGCAGACACTCTGAAAACATTACAGGATGGAATAGGAGAAACCCTAGGTCTCCTTGCCTCAGGCCGAAATTTTCTGAATAGAGACCCGGAAACACAACAAATCAAAGAAAGGTTGGACAAATGGGATTGCATAAAGTTGCAGAGCTTCTGCATGGCAAAGGACATAGCTAGCAAGATCAATAGAAAGCCCACGGATTGGGAGAAGATCTTTACTAGCCATACAATGGACAAGGGTCTCATATCTAAAATATACTTGGAACTCAAAAAATTAAATCCCCCAACAACAAATCCTCAAAGAAATAACTGCCCAATAAACAAGTGGGTGAAAGACTTAAAGAGAAACTTCTCTGAAGAAGAAAGAAGGATGGCCAATAGACACAGGAAGAAATGTTCAACATCCCTAGCCATAAAAGAAATGCAAATCAAAACAACATTGAGATACCACCTCACTCCAGTTAGAACGGCAAAAATCAAGAACTCTAACAACAACATGCTGGAGGGGATGTGGACAGAAGGGATCCTTACTTCATTGTTGGTGGGAATGTAAACTTGTTCAACCACTTTGGAAAGCAGTATGGAGGTTCCTCAAAAGACTCCACATAGAACTCCCCTATGACCCAGCAATCCCACTTTTGGGCATTTACCCAAATGTTTACAAACAAGACCACACTAAAGCTACCAGCACAACTATGTTTATTGCAGCATTATTTACCATAGCTAAGATATGGAACCAACCCAGATGCCCCTCAGTAGATGAATGGATCAAGAAAATGTAGTATATATACACAATGGAATTCTATGCCTCCAACAGAAAGAATGACATTGCCCCATTTGTTAGGAAATGGAAAGACTTGGAAAAAATTATATTAAGCGAAGAAAGCCAGGCCCAAAGAAACATAGGCCCCATGGTTTCCCTTATTTGCAATATCTAGTATATGTATGAGTCAAGCGGAAAAGGTCAGATAATGTGATGTTAGGAAAATGAACCCTTAGATATGTATTTTAATGTTTTTTTTCTTTCATGCATGTGTTTCTAACGCATTTATAAGATTATTTCTTTGTTGCTTTGTATGTCCCTCCCCCACGGTATAACCCCTGCTTTCACTATATTTGATGTCAGTATAACTTGTGGAGGAGATGGGGAAAAACAAGTCGTTTAAGGATACAGGTGGACCTGTTGCAAAAATGAGAAGTACAAGTTGTCATGTCAAAAATGAGCTTTACAATGTTGGTGTGGGGGGGGAAGGATTGGGACTGGGGGGAAGGGGGGAGGCTGAGAAGGGATGTGAAGGATAAACAAAGGAGGAGGCTGCAATGCTTGGTAAGAAATGTACGCATTATCCTTCCCATGTAATTGTAACCCCTCTGTACAGTATGTTCACAAATGAAATAAAATAAATTAAAAAAAAAAGAAGTTGATTTCTATACTATTTTACAATTGGAGGTAAATTCCTACAGGTAACTCAGACGGCAGAAAAAAATGACCACTCTTTCTATTCACTGCCCACAGGACAGCCTACAGGCAAAGAATATACAGCCTAGTGTTTCAATGATGCATTTAAATGCAAATTAAAATAACTTTACAAAAAAGGATTAAAATGACATCCCCCTTGTAAAAATTTGAGAAGTTGTGGGGAGTGGCTGGCCTCCCAGACAAAAGTTTAAAAGATAAAATTTTCCTAAAGGTTTATTTCAAAGTAAAAAAAAAAAAATAGGATTATTCCAGTTTGCCCCTAAAGTTTTTTGTTCCAGTTTGCCCCTAAAGTTTTTTGTAACAGTTGCCAGAAGGCCCACAGTAAAAGATAGGACAAGTTTGTCAAGTGTAATTTAATAAGTTAAACCATGCTTATAAAACTACTTCCAATGACCATCTTTGTTGCTTTTAATTGGAGTAAAAGTGACTGTTTGTAAAAAAAAAAAAAAAAACTCATTGATCTGCAGTTCGAAGCTAGTCCAGGAACAGGCAGACTAAAGTCCTTGTGAGATTGTCATCTCTAATCTGCCAACAGAGTGCTCAAAGCTGAGTTGTTTTGGAGTTTAAAGTGGCCAAGTGCTAGCGCTGAGCTGGAGAGCTGAGGGACAGCACTCAAACCCTGAGTTCAAGTCCAGCGACTGACCAAGGAAAGTGCCAAAGATGTATTTATCCCAACATAAGAAAGGCACTCCAGGGACCCTGACAATGTTAAAACATTCAGAGGCAATTACAAACAAATGTTTGGATGACAAAAGTGGTATTAGGTCCTGAGTTACTTGAGCTTGGTCTTCCAAAAAATTGATCAAGCCAGAAGGTCGTGGAAAGATAAGTTTGTAAACATTCCTATCACCCATGTTGGTGTAACTGGGCAAAACTTTCCAGTCATCTGTGATAGTGGGTAGTAAATCTAAGATTGTAGAATGGAAATCCCAAACCCCCTGTATCTGCTCAAAGTCCTAATTGGCAGTAACTTTTGAGCTGGTTAAATTCATCTGTTGAAAAGCTTGTAGAGCTGAGATTATGTTCCTATTGAGATCTGTCTAAAGGCCTACATAAGTAGGCATTCCTCTGCCAGACAGAAAATGCTTTTATAAACCAGGGTGTTAAACAGGCTATGCTGCTGTAGCCCAAGAAAAGGCCTGTACATTTGTTAAAGGTTAAATGTTGTCTATAAGCCACTTTAAACAGGCTACCCAGAGGCAGTAGGCCGTACTCAGAGTACCAATCAGTCTCAGGTTAAAAGCATCTATTGGGCTTTCTTTTAAAAAACTCTGACAAGTAATTGTTAGTCAATTGTTAACAAGTTATAGGTAACCTCCATCTCATTGATCTCCTTGTTGCTTTAACTGGAAATAAAAAGGGCTTTTGTAAGAAAGTTCAAAGCCATCCTGGGCACAAAAAAAAAAATCCTTCTAAAACTCCATCTCCCTACTAATCAGCACAGACCCAGGAGTATCCAGCCAAAGGCTGAAAGTGGCATTGTGACTCTAAGTGGTAGAGCATTAGCCTGGAGCAGAAGGGCTCAGGGACAGTGCCCAGGCCTTGAGTCCAAACCGTAAATGCCAACCGGGACAAGCTATCCCAGCAATGGATGTTGAGACAATGGCCAGGACAAAGTCAGTCCTGACTATGGAAAACCATGGAAAAGAGTAAGAGATGATACCCTAAATGGAGTCACTTTATGCTTTATGCATTGTTTCTGGCAAAACTGGAGCTTCAGCTTCCACCCCCATTACAAAGGCAGAGGAGGGGTCCCGCAGAGGAATGGGGATCTCACAGAGGAAGTCCTTCGGGGAGGGGGCCTCACAGCAGAGGCTGCAAAAAGGGGTGTACCTCACTGGGAGGCCGCAGAAGTGAGGGTGCCTTGTGAGGGAGGCTGCAAAAGAGGGGAGGGCCTCACAGGGGAGACTGCAGAGGAGGGGAAACTGCAAAGGAGGTACACAGAGGAGGAGTTTAAACTTAAACTCATCCATACTTTACCTTCAGTTGCAAGGGAGAGGGAAAGGAGAGGGAGAGGGAGAGAGGAAGAGAGGTAGAGAGGGAGATAGAGAGCCAGAGCTATCTGCCCAAGCACTCACAGAAGTGGAGTTTTAAATTTGGGGCCAAATTTGACTGAATGGGCTCAGCAGCCCTCCAAGGCCCAGGTGGCCTTAATGTAAAGAAATTTAGTGTCCTTCCCATGGTAAGGGACCTGATGCCATGGACCTATAGTAGAGTGTTCTCCACAGTACAGGTCGGCTCCCAAAGGGGGTGGTGGCCCTGCCAGTGGAGAATGTCTTCATGTTTGTCCATGCCCATTACTTGGGACATGCGGGAGGAGTCCTTGGGCCAAGGTAGGCCCCTGGCACTTGGCCAAGGTTTGGCTCTGATGGGGGGAATTGGGGCTCGGTTAGTCACAGAGGCCCAGGTGGCCTTACCACTGAGATATCAGAATCAGAAACCCAGACCTCAGATAAACAGGTCATTACCCTGGAGTGGGACTTAATTAGCAGTGTTGGATGGGCTGGTAGAGCGCTCAGTCAGGAGAAAGTTACCTTGGTGGTCCTCTGGTGACTGGCATATAGGATCTCAGGATAGGTCCCAGGGAAGCTGGTTGAACCTCCTTCCGAAGTGGAGGGCGGATCAAACCCACTGGGGAGCCTATCCCCACAGGGGTGACCAATGTAAGAGGATCAGACAAAAATCCATGTGAGGGGACCATGCAGAAGCAGGCAGGCAAAGGAGAAAGATTATTACAAGGTTTATTAGAGGAGCCATATTTCCCCCAAGAGGGAGCACATGACCTCCATCACTATCCTGGTAGCAGGAGGATCTGAGGGAAAAGGAAGTGAGGTAGATGGGAGTCCAGGTGGGTCTGGGTAGAGAGAGGGAGGGGCCAGTTGTATGGAAGGAACTCCAGAAATGGGAGGGGGCCCAGGTGTAGGTGCTCATACTTCGAGCTCATGACTCTACCTGATTCTGGGGCCTGGATGAGCTGCCTTGATCTCTTCTAAGTCATTTTACCACATGAGGCTTTTCTGAACTCATACGTCACTGCAAATTGCTAACACTCCTCCTTAGCACATCTCTCAATATATTTTTTCCATCATATATTTAAACATATTTATGTGTATACATTCTCAACCCTCCCCCAACTCCACACACAAAGGCATAGACCTTCAAAACAAAGCTTTTCTTTTTTTCCTTGCTACAGTGTCTAGAACCTAATAAACTCAATAGATACAAAAGAGTGAGTTGGGTACTAGTGTCACACCTGTAATGCTAGCTATTCAGGAAACTGAGATCTAGAATCACTTTTTCCATTTATTTCCCATTTTGATTAAAATTTAAGCGTTAAAGGAACTTTTAAAGAGAATCAAGACTTCCTTTTTTCTGGAGGTTTCCTTCACTCCCTTTCACCTAGTCCAGCTAAATCTGTGTCCCCCTGGGAGCTTTGGCATCCCAGAAAATCCATAGTCCCCCAGACCCCAGTTAAATTCAGACAGAATCCAGCATTGTGGTGGGCAGAGCAGAAGGCATCCACCACGTGTGCTACCCAACACCTCTAATCCACACCTGTGCCACTTCCATACTCCCAGCCACATGAGCAGCATTGTGTCACCATTGCTTGCACTGGCATAGGCTTCCGTGGTCATCAGGACAGATGTCCTGAGAGCTATTTCATCTGCATAAGGTGACATTTCCTGGGTCCAGGTATATTGCTGATCTGGGAAATCACTGGCATTGGAGCAAGCCAGGGCTGCTGCAACCACACTGTAGGATGCATCTCTCTGCAGCAAAACCTGAGGCCCTTCCTTCCTAGACACAATGGAGATCCTAGACTATTCCCTGCTTGTCCCTGGATGAGTCCATGAATATATCCACAGCCCTCATCTGTCAGAAATGAACAAAGAGTACAGAATTGTTCAAGTCATTTTCCATCTTCACAGAAGGGTGCACTATCATCCTGGCCCCCTAGAGCAAGGCAGCACACCAAATGGGGGGATCCACTTGGTTTTCATCCCAACCTAGGAATGATATTGTCCCTTCTCATGTTGCTAAGGAATCAGGATCACATCTTTGTAAACAATCGGTTACCAGGGTAATAGGATCATAGAAGGAAGACAAGTCATTCTACCCATCAGTGGACCATCCCTAGTCAAGAGGCAGTATACTTTGGGAGGCCATTGCTCAAAAACAAACATCCTCTTTACCTGCTAATGAAACTGCAACTCCACTGCACCTCACCTTTGTCATTACAACAACAACAACAAAAAGAAAAAGAAAAGGGTGTTTTGGACTTTCTTGTCAAGACTGGCTTGAAACCACAATCCTCAGATTTCAATCTCCTGAGTAGTGCCAAGCTTTTTCATGAGACAATTCTCTCAAATTAACCACCAAGAAAGAAGCTAAAAGAAAAAGAGAAAAGTCCAGGACTTGAGCTGAGGCTCAACTGGAAGATCATGGACAGCACCCATGCCCTGATTTCAAACCTATGACCAGCACATCATCATCATCATCATCATCATCATCATCATCATCATCATCATCATCATCATCATCATCATCATGTGAATAAAAAGACTGTAAGAGCCTATTAAGAATATTAAGATTGAGGGCTGGGAAGGTGGCTCAGTGGTAGAGCTCTTGCCTTGCATGCATGAGGCCCTGTGTTTGATTCCTCAGCACCATATAGCAAAAAAGAAAAAAGCCGGAAATGGCGTTGTGGCTCAAGTGGTAGAGCGCTAGCCTTGAGCTGAAGAGCTGAAGGATAGCGCCCAGGCCCAGAGTTCAAGCCCCATGACCAACCAAAAAAAAGAATATTAAAATTGAGTGAGCCAGGCACTTTTTGGTGGCTGACATGTAATCCCAGTCAGGAGCATGAAATCTCAAGATGGTGGTTAAAAGCCCACCTGGGCAGGAAATTCCATGAGGCTCTGATCTCCAACTAACCAGCAAAAATGCCAGAAGTAGAGCTGTGGTTCAAGTGGTAAAGCAACAGCCTTGAGCGAAAAAGCAAAATAACAGTGACCAGGCCCAGATA